GTCTGACTCAGGCCATTTTTTTCACCATTCTGAAACTGCAGGGCATCTCATAGGTATTATTTTTGTTCTAGTAGCCAACACAAGCAACCAGGCTATGGGAGGCACTCAATGTTTTATAGATCAATAAGCCAGGCTGCCTGGAACAAAGACTGTATGTAGAAAGTATTTGGAAGAAAATAATTTCTAAGCTAGTTGTAGTGGTACACAACTGTAATTCCAGCACTCAGGATGCTGAGGCAGGAGGATCACAAGTTTGAGGACAATCTGAGCTATATAGTGGTACTGTTTCAAAAGAAGAAAAAGGAAGGAAGGATGGAGGGAGGGAGGGAGGAAAGGAAGGAAGAAAGGAAGGAAGGAAGGAAGGTAGGAAGGAAGGAAGGAAGGAAGGAAAAGAAGACTGAGCATCCAACTTCTTTGAACAATTCCTGCAAATCAAAAGAAACAGAAAAACACAAATTGAAGCAATAATTATTGATATAGTATATATTCATCAACTCATAATTTAAATTCATAATCAAAATAATATCTAATGATATTCAAGATATGCACTGGGAAGTTCTATAAGTATCTGAAGTGTCTTGTTTCTGAATCAAAGAAAAATTGTTTAAGCTACCATGAGTTAATGCAAGGTGTGTTTGAATGCAGGACTCTTCTGTTGGCCTTGGATGTAAATCATCATCTGTGATGTGGACATTCCATTAGAATTAAAACATAGGCAAAATCCTTAAAAGAGGCCCTTCTGTTGGAGAGACATGAGACCTCATCCCATCACTGTCAGAACCAGCTACTAATCAAAATATAATTAAGACTGAGTTTTTGTGGTTAAAAGCTATAGTGATGACAGGGTGTTAGCGCACACCTAGAACCTCAGCACTCATAAGGCTGAGGCAGGAGAGTTGCAAGTTTGAGACCAGCCTGGGCTACATACTGAGCCCCTGCCTTGAAAACAAAACCAGAAATGATGAGGGAAGAAATTTCTTGGGAAGGAATAAAGTGTTAGAGGAAGATTTGGGGGAGGGTACATACTGAGAAGTGACAAAAACTGGATTATCTCCTAACCTTTGTGTCTGCACAGTGTTTTCTGCACTTTTTATATAGAGTCTCTGTTTCTACAAAGTCTTAATTATTTTGATGACTAATTTTCAACCAGTAATGTGGCATAAGCTTGTGACCATTTTTTACTGGCACCAAGCCATGCCCCTTATGGGCATGGTTTCAATTAATCTTTATAATAATGAGGTACTTTAATTTAGCAATGAAGAAACAGCAGCAGAGAACTTAAGTAGCAGTCTGGCATGATGGTGTACACCCATAATTGTGATACTCAAGAGGTTGAGATGAAAGACTGAATTTAGGCTAGTGTGGGATACACAGCAAATTCAAGGCCACGCTACTCTACATAGACCCCATATAAGGAACAAGGAATGTAAGGGAGAGCCAGCATGGGCCAAGACGGCCAACACTGGACATCTGAGGGATATGAGTCAGCACAAAATGACTGACACTGGATGTCCAGGGATCCCCAAAACAAACAATAATGTAATCTGTTACATATTTGGCAAGCTGCCACTTTCTTCTTGGTTCTGTATAAATATGTCCTTGAGACCAAAGCAGGCACCCTCACCAGAGTAATTAAAATATGTGATTTCTGCCTGAGTTCCTCGTTTTTTTAATCTCTCAGCTTCTTGCTACCCTCTGTCTCTGACCCCAGAGCTTGGACCCATCACCTTGACTCCAAAAAACTAAAACTAAAACAAAAGTTAAGTAACTTGTCATGTTCTAGTTACTACATTTTACATTTTTATTAACTTTTATTTTATGTTTCTGAATGTTTTGCATGCATGTATATAAGTGCACCATGTGCGTAAATGCCTGCAGAAGTCAGAAGAGAGTGTCAGATCCCCTGGAACTGGAATTACAGACTATTGCCACCATGTGGGTGCTGGGAACCAAACCAGGGTCCTCTGCAAGAGCAGCCAGTGCTCTTCACCACTAAGCCATCTCTCCAGCCCCATTACTGCATTATTATGATTGCAACATGCTAGATAGAAACTAAATGTCCAAATGCAGATGATTGGCTGAATAAACAGTAGTACATGGAATAATACACTGCTATAAACAAGGAATAAGGTAGCCCTTCCTTTATGAATACACAGAGTGATGGCCGAGATACCTTGGTTAGTGAGAAAAATGCAAATTATAATGTAAAATGCTACTTTTCATGTAAGAAAGCAGAGAAAATATGCACATGTTTTATAAAAGAAGCTAAATTTTCTCAGTGGAAAATTGCATTCCAGGAAAATATAATGCACATTAAATCCCTGTAAATATTCTTTAGGTTTCTACGTGAAACAGTACAGTCTAGGTTTCATTATCACAAACGGGATTTTTGTCTTGCTTTTTCTTTGTTTTTTAAGTTATTTTTATTTTATGTATATGAATGTCTTGCCTGTATGTATGTAAGTGTATCCATGTGTGCAAGTATCCACGGGGTCCAGAAAAGGGTGTCAGATCCCCTGGAACTGTAGTTAAGGATGGCTCTAGCCACTGTGGGGGTGCTGAGAACCAAACTCAGGTCCTTTGGAAGGGTAGCCAGTACTCTTAACCATTAAGCCATTTCTCTAGCCCAAAGCCCAAAGCCCAAAGCCCAAAGGTAGCTTTTTTTTTTTTTTTTTTTTTGAAACAGGGTCTCCCTGTATCCCCAGCTGGCCTGGAACTCGCTATGTAGACCAGGCTGGGCTTGATCTCACAGAGATCTGCCTGCCTCTGCCTCTCAAGTGTTCACTAAAGGTGTGCACCACCACACCCAGCTGTTTTTGTCTCATTGGGATTGTGCTATCATGCATGGCTTTCAAGCTGGATTTTTTACTTATAGGAATGTCTTATGAACTTGCAGAAAAGTGCAGGACTGTCTTGCATATTAAACTGGCCTGCCTAGGACCCCTGTTTTCTGCTCTAAATGTCAATTGTCCTATAGACACAGTATAAATTAAAACCACCTCTTGTAGGTTGGATTATGTTTCTCAAAAAGATATGTTAAGGGGCTAGAGAGATGACTCAACAGTTAAGAGCACTGGTTGCTCTTGCAGAAGACCTAAATTTGATTCCCAGCATCCACATAGTACCTGACAACCATCTGTAACTAAAGTTCCAAGGGATCTGACACCCTCTTCTATCCTCCATTGGCTTTGCATGACTTGAGTGCATTTACATACATGGAAGCATAACACACTTTATGTGTATAAAATAAAACAAGTTTTAAAAATAATTTTAAAAGATATGTTAAAAGCCAGGTGCATGCCTTTGATCCCAGCACTCGGGAGGCAGAGGCAGGTGGATCTCTGTGAGTTCAAGGCCAGCCTGGTCTACATAGTGAGTTCCAGGACAGTTGGGGCTACAGGGAGACCCTGTCTCAAAAAGACCAAAAAAAAGATATGTTAAAATCCTAGTGCCTAGTATCTACGAATGGGATTTTATTTGCAAATACAGTCTGAGCAAATGTAATCAAGTCAAGATAAAGTCATACAGGATTAGGGTAAACCCCAGGCCAATGACTGATATCTTTATGAAAAGTGGAAATAAAGACTCACACTTAGACGTTAAGGCCATGTAAAGAAGGCCACCATTA